GGCGGGAGGGCTGTGAGGAGAGGGGCGCGATGCCCCTTGCCTCCATGAGGCCAAGGGGCTCCTCACTCCTCAGCAGCCCCCTGCCATGGCCTGGTTCAGGGCCGAAAGGGGGGGGGGGAAGACATAGCAGGTAAAAATAAACCTCCACCGCACCCATCTGGCAGCACAGACTGGGAAATCGGGCACGGGGCGTGCAGCATTCACGCAGCCCAACAGCTTGCGGCATATGGGGAAGCAAAGACAAGCGTTAACACTCCCACTGCAAACAGAAAGAAGGGCTAGAGCTTATCTGAGGGCCGAGGGTGACCCCAGCCAGCGCAGCTTGCTGGGTTTAACCTTTCTGCCGAAGTGGGTAACTGAGGTTGCAGGTGTTCATCAAAGCATGAGGATTTTGCAGCAAAAAAGAGTCCACCTGAAGCCTCGATGCACAGGCCAGGAGCACTGCTGCCTGACAGGCCCCTGGAAGAACTGCACCAGTGCTGAGGAGGAGAGAGAGCAAGTCAGATGCATTCTGTGACCCTTCTTCCTTAATATAGCATTTATTTTTAAATAACACCACATTATTTCAAGATTTGTTTTCTTTAGCTGTAATGGGGTTTCTAAAAATTGTGCTTGCCACTTGGAACTGGCAGCTTGAGGGTAACGGTATATAAAAAGGCAAAAAAAGTGAAGTAGAAAAGCAAAGTAGGCTTTTTTTTTTTCCTTCTCCTAATGCAGGGTGGGGAAGCAAGGACACAAATAACACTGCTCCGAGTCAGGCTCCCTCGTGTGAGCTGGAGAGGAATACAACATCCCACAGCCTCGCTCCGAAACCTCAGCCTCCCTCCAGCCAAACGTCAACGCTTGGAAATACATTTAAAAAAAAAAAAGAAAAAAAAAGAAAAAGGGCTTTTTGACTCTTAAAGGCAACTCCTGGAACGCTGTGCCACGCGGGCAGGCTTGGGGGGGGGGGGATTGTCAGTGCCATCTTCTGTTGGGCCTGCTGCACTGCACAGCCCTGGAAATTGAGGCTGGAAAAGCAGGATTGCATCACCCAGCCTTTCCAGCCCGGCTCAAAGCCTTCCCCTTGGAAAAATCCTGAACCAGCGGAGCTCCCGCCCCTTCACACCCCAACTGGCTCTGGCCACAGGGAGGTGTCTGCCGCTAGAGCACGCTTGCAACCCTCCGTCATTACAGAATATATTTTATTTATGGAATTTTACAAATAACTTTACAATTCACGTGACATAAGTTATGTTCTTTGTTTCAACGCTTATCTCTTACAACACCTGAGTTATTGAAATACTGAGATGGAACTTGAGCTTCAAACTGGACATGGGAAGGGAAACACGGATGAAAATCCATAACAAGCTCAATTTGGGTCGCTTTCCCTCCTCGTTCTCCTGCCTGCCCCATCCCTTCTCCGACGGCAGGTACCAGCCTGCCTGAGCCAGGGACAGGAGCTCTCTCCCACCAGTCCTGTGGCGGAAGGAGGGTCCCTCTCTGCGAGGAGCCTTGTTTCTCTGAGGGGTTTCACCCCAACCCACACACCCAATCTTTGGGTCACAGATTTCTCAAAGTCAACTCAGTTGGCAAGAAACAGGGTTAAACTTGAAATGAGAAGACGACAGACTCATGATCCCCACCGTGTGCCGAGGGGCCCGTACCGGCTCCGAGGAAGCCAAGCGTCAGTCCTTACCATGTTTCCAGCTCTTGGGGACGCAGAGGACCTCCCAGCCACAGTCTGCAAGCACCTCGTGGTCCCCAGGGGACAGAAAACAAGATTTCCCCCCCCTTTGCCTCCAACGCAGAGGCTGTTCCATCTGTGCGCTCCGCTGAACGGCTCCTGCCAGCCACCACTTAGCCCTGGCAGTGCTATGGCTGCCCTCTGCCCCGTGGAAAGCCGCCAGCGATACAGTGTTTTCCAAATACTTCCTTGAGAGAGAAGAGAGGGCACATATGCCATTCAGAGGACTCAGTTTTTCCACATCAAGTTGGTCAGATGGGGCTGCAGCTCTCTCAAGCAGGGAAAGGGAGTTTCCAATACCACTTTCCTCCCAACTACTGATAAATTAGCAGCAACATAAAGCATGGGTAATGACTGCGAAGTGCTGCAGAAGTGGCTGGGTGCCCGAGCCAGGACAGGTCACACTGCTTCAAGGTGGCTCTGTCCCACGGAGCAGCCGCAGAGGGAAGAGTGACTTACGATGACCGTCCACACGAACAAGAGACACTGCATGGGATAAAGCAGAGCCCGTCTCTCCTTAAGGGCATCACCAATGGCAGCAAGCGGCCCAAGGACCGTGTGGGACCTCTGGGTTGAAGGGTACTCCCAAGAAGGCTCCCTGCTCCTCGACATGCTGATATTTAACCTTCTGGGTGCGGGACAAAGCCAACAGCCTCCTGGGTGCCAAGGGGACAAAGTCAATGCCTGGCCTAGCCAAAGCCCCCGAGAGCAGAGGTGCTGAGCCACGAGGATACTGGCAGTGTCACATCTCAACAGGCAGAGACCTACAGACTCAATGCAACTGTTAGGAGCCTAAGAGGAACAGCATCCAGCTGGTACCTAAGGCAAATTAAGAATTACAGTGAGGTACTGGCAGCCAGCAATCAAACCAGGGTACAACATTACCAGATGGTGCTGAGCCTGCCCCAGGCTATGTCAAGGGCTGAAGTCCCTTGTCTCTTTTGCGATGGGCAGGAAAAATACCTGGCACACCTTCCGCTTTGCTTTCCAACAGGGGTGGAAGGGGAGGTGCGGGGAGCCTCAGCTCCAGCCCCTGGTGCTGAGCAGCACCGAGCCAAGGTGGCAGGATGGCCATCACCCTGTCACACACCCCCATGGCCACCTGCACAGGCAGGGAGTGAAGGAAGACGCTCAGTGACAAGCCATCCCTGGCACATACACCAAAGCACTTCTCAAAGCCATCCGCACCACTCCTTCATCCCAATCCAGCGCCGTACCCACTAGGGTAAGCCGCCTAAATCAGCTCCCGCCTATCAGCATGGCCACAAACTCACCACTCCTGGGTGCAGGATAAGGTCTGGGGGGAAAAGGAGGTGCAAGGAAACCTCAAGCAACACGGGCGGGGTGGGCAACGTTATCAATATGATAATAAGTCAATTCACCTAGTGAATCTGGGGAAAGCCAGCCCAGAAGCAGAGCTGTGAAGTGCCTGTAACACCCTTCTCTGGCTACTCCCTAAGGCTGGAAACACACAACCTAAAGAGGTTTACAGTCTATTTTTTTTTTAAAAAAACACCCACCCCCCACCCCCGAACCTCAGCAACTCAGCAGCATCAGTGTTTAAAAACCGGTGTCCGTTCCCAGGTGTCGGCGTGAGCTTGGTCACAGTCTAAGGACCGATCCCCTGGCTGGGGAGTCTGTGGCCGGGCAGAGGCTCACCGTCCCAGCTCTGCCCTTGCCCCGCACTGCTGTCATGCCCTTCTCACCAGCATTGCCACATGGCTGCCCTCACAGAAGGAGAAGGGGTTGTTTTCCCCCCATACAGCAGCAGGGACCTAAGGGAGGTAAGGGCATCCTGCTAGCCTTCTCCCAGCTGCTGCCCCACGCAGCCCATGTGTCAGTCCGACCCGCATGAGGTGCGGTTTGGTGTCCTCTGCTCCGAGCGCTGATGCCCAGAATGTGCTTTGAAAAAAAAAAAACCAACCTCTTCACCCTGCTCTTCCCAGGGCATCGTCTGGGCGGCCAAGGCAGAACAGGAGCAAAACCAGATGTGGCTCCAGAGACACGCTTCTGAAGACAGCAAGGGTGATGCTCAAATCATGAGCTGTGCTCCTTGAGCTTCCTCTTCCTCAGCAGCCCTCTGTGCTTGGAGAGCTCAGCTCCGAGGACTGGCTGGTAGGTAACTCTCCAAGAAGGGTCTGTACTGATCTGTCCCCATCACACACCCCCCACAAAGGGGTCAGGAGAGCATCACATCCCATCGCACCACTCCGAGCACAAGGAGGGGAGCAACACAGCTAGAGGAGCTCCTGTCTCCCAACTCCATCCTTCCCAGGACATGTGAGGAGAGAAGGGATATGACACTGGAAAGAGATCTTCTGGTCAGTTCAGTCCTACAGCAAAGGGGATTAAGCTCCCCTCAGCCTTAAACCAAAACAAAATGAAGTCTGTGGAATAGCTTTAAAAGCAATGCCTCTTCTTCTGTAGTGTGATGTCAATGCTCACACAGGTACCATTGTTTGCTTGCAGCAGGAAAAGGAAAGAAAAAAAAAAAACAACCCCTTCCCGCCCCCCCAAAACCAACCAAACAAAAAAAACAAACAGAAAAACTGGAACAGGGCTGTGAGTCGGGCTGGTCCTACCCTATCTGGATCTGGCCAGAGTACATGGTCAGCAGCACCATGATGGTGAACCCCGTCAGCAGCCCTGCGTTCTGGATGGCGAAGGTGATCAGTGTGCTGCCGTTCTGCTCATCCTCCTGGCTGACCTCATTCATTTCAGGGAACTGTAGGGGGAAGGGAGAGCGATGGCTAAGTTCAGAGACTGGAGTGGCTCTGTCCTTCCTCACTGCTTCCCACCCCATGCCACCATCCCGGCAAATATTCACACCGCCTGTCCTGGGGCTCTCAGCCGGGTCACCGTGCCACCAGCCCAGGAGGCAAAGCAAAGCAGAGACGAATGCCGGCTGCTACAGACAGCATCTGCGTTTGCCAGGCGGACAGAGCAAACATCCCCTCTCCAGACTGAGAGCAAGCCAGAGCTCTTCCTAGCCAGGCAAAAAACACCAAACGCTGGCAAGGTCCCAACCATGCACCCGGCAGCCCCCCTGGCCCATCATTTACCATGTCAGCCAGCGCAATGTACAGAAACATCCCTCCGGCCAGCGCAAAGATCCAGTTGGCAGAGAAGTGGCTGCCGGCCACGATGCCGAAGGCCAAACCCACGTAGCAGCAGCAGGCAGAGATGAAGTTGAAGAAGAGTGCTTGGCGGATGGTCATCCCGGCGTTTAGCAGGATGACAAAGTCCCCTGCGGGAGAAGAGGACGGGGAGGATGAGGAGGGAGTGGGCTATCACTGGGTGGGCAGCAGCATTGGGACAGCATCGAGGTGCTCGTATTCAGCGCCTGCTTTTGCGTGAGGCCAAGCGTGGGCTCCCCATCCCCGCTGGCGCCGAGCGCTGACCACACCAGCTGCCTGCCAGCTCCCGGCCCTACCCGCGCATAAATTCGGACAGTCAAACCCAAACCGCTGCCCGCCTCCCCCCTCCCAAACCAATGAGGTGTTGTTTTTTTTTTTTCTTCAGATGTCTCCATCTAAATTTAAATCTCAGACATCATATTACCTCGTTATTTTTAGAGCTGTGATTACTCAGTGTAGTTTACAGCCTCGCCTCCCCCCCACCCTCATTACTCTGTTTATTCCGCCCAACATTTGCCTTTCCCTCAAGAAACAACGGGTAGGACCAGGAAAGCGGCAGGGTTAGCCTTAAAGAGGGGCAGATCTGAAAGCCCTTGCAGCACCTTTCCCCAAGGACTCACGTACCGAGCTCATGCGGGAACTCCTCGCAGAGGATGGCCACGGAGGTGCTGATCCCTTGGAAGACGGAGACGGTGAAAGAGGCCCCGATGGCCAACCCATCGATGAAGTTGTGGAGGCCGTCGCTGAGGGTGATCATCCACGCCAGCGTGCCGATGTCAGAGTACCGCACCTCCTTCAGCCAGTAACACGCGCTCTGGGAGGCCTGCAGATCCTGCCACGGCACCCCGACAGCGGGGACTCAGCACCCAGCCGGTCTCAGGGGGAGGTCACCGCTCCCTCCACTGGCCAGGGGAACCCACCCCTCCACGCATTAAATCCACACGAGGCTTGACCTGAGCCGTTTGCTTTCCACTACACACAAAGGATTTTGTCAGGGAGGTGCAACGGGCTTCAAAACTGCTCTTTTTCATTGACATGCAGGTTTTTTTCCACATGCCCACCCACCACCCCACAGGAGAAGGCACTAACCTGGACAGAGAGGGAGCCCACCACAACCTTCTCATCCCCAGAGGGGGTCTGGCACTCCAACTCGCTGGTTATGTGTGGGATCATGTGGTCCAGGTCCCCGTTCTGCAGCTTCTCCGTGATCCCCTCCTCCTGGTCCTTCTTGGAAGGCAGAGCCTCGGGGCCATAGTGGCTGTGCCCGTGGTGATGCTGCGGGACAGCGGGGATTCACGGGTGTCAGCTACCCCTGCCATTTCTGCCGTTTCCCACCCCAGCAGCACTCCAAGCAGCCCCTGCTCAGCCTCACCTGGTCCTTCTGTTTCAGGAGCATCTTCAGGACCTTCTCCGTGAAGAAGAAGAGGTAGAAGCCCCCGAACACCACGGCGGATTTGGAAACATAATAATCTTCTTGAGGATTGAATCCAAATGCCTGCAGGCAAAAGGGGACAAGTGACAGGACTGAGGAACAGTCTCCAGCAGCATGTCTGCCTTTGTCCCTGGCACCTCTGGGGCAACATCACCACTTTCTGACCTCTCTCTAAGCAGCAGCTGCTTCAGGGGCAAGCTCAGAAAATGCCTTCATGCACCTTTAATCTCCCTCACTCCCCCAGCCAAGCTGGCTGTGCCCCAAGCCATTGGATCCACCACCTTGCACCAGGGCAGGGATGCTAAAAGCAGGCTTAGAAAGCCCCCACTGTCTCAGCACAAAGGTGACCTGCAGGGCTAGAAGGGCAATAAAATAGCACTTCTCTGCTTGAAGCAGACCAGAGGTCTCCCTGGAGCGATTCCCTTCCAAAGAGGGGCGAAATGCCAGCTCCAACTGTGGTCCCGAAGGGCTTCCAGCCTCTGTACCTCACTCTCGGCTCCCCTCCGATGTCGCCTTCCCCTTCTCCAGCCAGCGAGCGCCCAGAGAGAAACAGCCCCCGAGAGAGAGAGAGAAAAGGACAGACCTGACAATCCTCACCCTACCTCGGGAATGAGCTGGAAGAGGGCGTTGGAGTAGAGAGTTCCAATCGCCAGAGCTATGAAGTAGAGGAGCAGCCGCTTGTAAAAGGTCTTCTTCATGAAGGGTACCACGCTGGCTCCCACCAGCGAGCAGAGGGAGATGACGGTCACGCAGAGGAAACCGTAACCCCAGACTGCGGCGTGCATGCCAAACCCACCCCGGGGGAATCGGACGAGGGGAGGTTGTTGGAGGGAAAGGAGATCAACATGGGGAAGGGGAGGGAGGGGAAGGAATCCACACCAAGAGGAAAGAGAGAGGAGGGAGGGAGAGGGGGGAGAGAAGAGGACATTCATTAGTGATTGCTTGTTCATCTGGCATTGGCTCAAGAGGGTGAACCTGGTGTTTGAGTGGCTTTGGAAACAGCTCTTTGGGAAGGGTCAGAGAGACACTCCGCTGTGGAGCTCGCACCAAACAACCAAGAGAGGAGCCCTCCCTTGGAGCAAACAGCTCTCTTTTAGCACTGGGCTACAGCTGAGTTTTGGCAGCCAGGACGTTTCAGAGCCAGCACCCCAGCTCTGCTCCCCGAGCCCCCATGGGACATCGGGTGGCTGTTCCAGTGCCACAGAGCACCAAGGTCCCCCGAGCACCTCATACACTCCATCCTTGTCCTGCAGCCTGGAGAGACGCAGCTGGTCCCTGCAAGCCACACTGGGATGCTCTGACTGACGGCAAGGGTGGAGCATACGTAAGGCACTTCAGTTCCTGGCAGATCAGGAAATATAGGCACTTGGTTTTTGTGTTTGGCAAATAAAAGTCGCAGTTCTGGAGTTGGATAGGAGCCTTGAAAAAATATCCCCCGCCAACACAGATGAGGCATTCGCTGCCCAAGAGCAAAGCAAGCAACACCGGGGAGCAAAACCCAGTGGCAGCAAAGGGTGCTCTGCTCAGAGGGAAGGCTGCACCTTAAATGCAGCATTTTAAGGCTGGATGTGCACGAGCTCAGATCCAGCTCGTCATCTACCCAGGCTCCACAAGGGCTATGCAAAGCCTCCCAGACCGGGGAGCTGAGGAAGCTTGCATGTTTCGAAGGTGTCCAATCTGAGGGCATGTGGGTGTATTTATTCAACTCCGGAACTGTGCAATTACAACACAATTAATTTGCAATATATCTGTCAGTCCCATCAGAGCACCAGGAAACCTCGTGTAAGCCTAAACCCTTGTGGGAGCATCGGTCTTGTAAATCAGAGGGGAAAAAAAGGCAATTAAAATATTTGTAAAAGTTGGCTGACTCAAGAGGAAGCTGGTGCTTCTCTGGGCTGTTCTCTGTGCTTTTACACCGATACTTCCTCCGCCTTGCACGTCTTCCCATCTGGCTCACGCCACTAGCACTGCCGCATCTCAGCGGCCTCAGAGCCGGGTAGCTCTGCATGAAGCAGGGCTGAGCACATCCCTCCAAGGGATAAACTCCCTTGCAAAGCAGACACAGCCCATGGGGCAGGAGCAAACAGCTTCTCCCACCATCTTCTTGGACCTCAGACCTGGCCAGCAGCATTGCAAGGACCCAGCAGGGCTGGAGAACACAGCCTCCCCACGCTGCCTGCACGCTCTCGAGGGTTTCCTGGTGCTCAGAGGGGCGAGAAAAGCCCCGCGGAGCCCCTGAGACAAGCCCTCAGCCTTGGGTGACGGAGGGATCGGTTCGATTCGGCAGGGTGGAGGCAGAGAGGGTGCCCAGAGAGCTACCCTCAGAGACGGGAGAGAGGCAGGGACTTTCTACTGCACCTCTGGGATGAGCTGGAAGAGCGCGTTAGAGAGCAGCGTGCCGATGGAGAGTGCGATGAAAAACGTGAGGACCCGGCTGAAAAATGCCTTCTCGGTACACGGTACGATGAAGACTCCGAGCAGGGAGGCCACGTTAATCATTGACACACTGAGAAAACCAAAGCCCCACACTGCGGAACGAGAAGAAACGAGGGCCAGACATTACCGAGGCTCTCGGTGCGGGGAGTCGGGGAGGACCCTGAGACCTCGGATCCAGGCAGGTGGAAAAGGCTGGCGCTGGGTCTATACCCTGATGCTGGGGCCAGCCTTGCAGCACCGGAGTGTCTCTCTCTGTGCTCCAGACACTTCAACTGCGACACAGACTGTCACTTTTGTGGCAGGGCAGGTGGAAATGAAGCCACCAGGTTACTTGGAAGAGTCTTTCCTGAGTCAGCCCTGGTCTCACAGCGTGGGACAAGCCAGTGCTGTGCTCAGGGCAGCTGATCCAAGACCTTGGGCATCATCAGGATCTGGATGCCTGGAAGCTCATTTTGCATCCGCTGGTGGCTGGAGGCCAGCGGGTCCCTAAACGTGCCAGGTCACCCCCACCTACCCACAAGGACTCAGAGCAAGGTCCCCATCATCCAGCTATCCCGAGAGCCGTGCTGCAGGCATAGCTCTGACCTGCGGCGTGTGCGATCAGGGGCAAAACCACGCCGCAAGCCCACGACACAAACCACACCGGGGAAAACCCGTCAGGGCTCCCCGCTGCTGTAGGCAAGCTGCCTCCTCTTGTCTCTGCCACACTCTGCCTGTGCCCCAGAGCCAGGAAGGAGAACTGGCTGTCCCGCAGGTCCCAGGGTGCCTCATATCCCTGAGCTCCGTGCCCCGGGCTGGGCAGCGCTCGTGCCCCCCGCTTACCTTCGGCTGAGCTGGGTCTGCTCTCCTCTGTCTGCTCGTTTTCCTCATTTTCCTGGTTCTCGGAGGCGCACGCCCCCGACTCCAGCTGCTGCAGGATGGTGGGGCAAAACTCCTTGAACTCGCTATGCCCCACGGCGGAGCCCTCGCTCAGGTTGTGGATAGCGAAAAGCTCAACGGAGCTGAAGCACTAGGGAAGAGAAGAGACAAGCAGGTGCCTCAAGAGTCCCACAGCTCTGCAAAGAGACTTTAGGGGTCTGCAGAGCCCCTGCCTTACCCGGGAGAGGTTCATCCTCTGCTGCGGCGGTTGGGAGACATTGGCGTGCCCCACTCCCACATCCAGGCGGTTCAGCAGGGCCTTGAGCTGCTTCAGGCTCAGAGTTTCGCTCTCGCCGTACCGCTGGAGGAGATCCTGCAGGAAGGAGGCTGCGGAGAGCTCCAGTCCCGCGGCATCCCTGCCCGCCCAGACCCGCGGGCAGGGGAGAAGGCAGAGCAGCATGAGCAGGCAGCAGCCCCGGGGGCCTGCGCTGGGGATCATGGTGTCTCAGGGATGCTGGAAGAGAAACCATGTGCTGCCATTAGCTTTATCATCCCCAGCGGCTTCGACCACTGCTCTTCCACCCCACAGCTCCATCAGGAGATGGCAGATTTCTTCCCCAGGGAGCCCCAGGCTGAGGAAGATGCAGCTTTGCACAGTGCTGAAAGCACCCAGATCCCGAGGAGAAACATCTTTTCACGAGCAATACAAGACCAGCCGCTTCTCCTCCACCCTGAGCCAAACCCCCAGCACCACCTCCCCGAGCACCCTGCTCACCACAGCCGTGTGCTGAGGGGTGGAGGGCTGCCGGGACATGGCTCCCAGGGGCTCTCCAGCTCTGCAGCACCTCGGGATCCCTGGGGAAGAGTAGCCAGTGGATGGAAAGCAGGCAGGAGCATGCAGGCAGGGCTGCGATGGGGATCCCGCATACATGCCTCTGCCAGCGGTGCAGCCAGCAAACCCCAGCGCAGTTAATTCCAATGCTGGCTGCCGAATTCGGCTCTCCTTAGGGCAAGGAAGTCAAGCACCGGCCACGCTAACACCACGTTGAGTCCCCCTCGTGCCACCAGACCTGGGACACGCACCCCTCGGGGACCTCTGGCCACCCACGCCAGCGTTCGGAGGACACGGGAGCCCAGGGGACAGAGGTAGCATTTTCATTAAGTTATATTTTAACTACAATAATTACAGTGAACCAGGTCCTTCCCAGCCGCAACTGTAGATGCCTTTGTAGTATTTGCCTAGAATCAATCCTTGCCCTCTCCGCTCCTTTCATATAAGCTAGGAATCAATAAAAGTGGGATGGCAGAGACCAGGGGAGCTGGGGTTCACCCGGCAGCACAAGTTGGGTGCAAAGGAAGGGGCTTGGAGAGAGGGTGGGAGGCCAGGCACGACCCGCACGTCCACCTTGGGCAGCACCCAAGAGGCTGGAGCAGGGCCCAGGCTGCCTTCCTGGAAGAGCTTCACTGAAAGGTGGATGGCAAATTTGGGATTCACAAGGACAAACAGAAAATAATTTGCTATCCACTGCCTCCGTACGCCCAGCAGCCATCACGTTCCCAGCCCAGGGCTTCGCTCCCCTCCCAGAGGCTTGGGCACACACTGCCTCGTGGTTTCCCCTTCCCGGGGGAAGCAGTTTGCAGCCCTGGGATGGTTCCTGCACCGTTGTGCATGGGGCCCCATCCAGCCCAGCTCTGCCCTGGCACAGGACCTGCCACCCCGGCCAAGCCGCGCTCCCGTCGGCTGCTCCGGCACCCCGCCACGCTCATCCCATGCTGACGGCTTGCAGATTTTGGTCTCCTCCAAAAACAAGCCCGAGACATTTTTGAAGCCCGGCCAACCAATTGTTCTGAAAATAACCTGAGGCCGGGTTTGCGAGGCATAGTGCTGCTCGGGGCGGCGAGGCCAAGCCCAGCGGGACCCCATTCTCCCCCCAGGACCCTGTACCCCCTCTGAAGGTGCCCACATTCCTGCAGGTTTTACAAGCTTACCACCGCTTTGCGAGCTTTATTCTCCAGGAGAGCGCAGGCCTTGGAGGTTTTAGCCTCCTCCTGCCAGGGCTTAGCTGGGATGCTTTGGCTTAACCCCTCTCCTCCCAAAATGGGGGAGCGAGCTCATCTGGTGAGGTGCTGGTGATGGTAACACCCTGCTCGGTGGGGGCTACCTGAGCAACCTCTGACTCTTCAGCATCCCCCAGCAAAAGCAGGACACCTTCTTCTGCCTCCCTCCTACCCAAATCCACCCTTCCAGACAGGTCCTCCCTGGGCAATGCCCTGCCACAGCCCCAGAAGCGGCCACTGGCCAGGGTGGCCACGTGGGACATTTGGGCGGCCAGTGACTCCCACAGGGTACACAGGAGCTGGCACACAGCCCACGGTGGCAAAGGCCTGTCCCGGCGGCACCGCATCCCAGGAATGGGTTGGCTGCCTTTCCCTCTCCGTGCCAGCCGAGTGCTCCCCACGTCCCTCGTCCTGCCAGGAGCCATTCTACCCGGACCATGCCGATTATCGCCAGCCCGTGCCAAGGCATGCAGCCCTCTCCAGTGCCAAAATCACCCCTGGGGTTCCTCCCAAAACCGGGTTGAGCCAGGCGCACCCATGGTGGAAAACCGGACCTCAACTTTTACCCAGCTACCAAACAAAAGGCAGGAAGCGGTTTGCAGGCAGAGCTGGGCAGGGGTTTGAATTGCACAGGCTCGCCACTGTTTTAGGGCAGAAACAAGGTAGAGGAGCCATCCCTTGGGAAGAAGGGCGCAAGGTGGACCAGCCTTAGAGTCTCAGATCCCCCTGAACACCCCAGGACAAGGCAGGAGGGTTTCAAACACATCCAAGCCCCCCCATCCCAGGGGCAAAGGGAAGCTGCAGCAAACACCCCGGGGACACAAACCCCTGCTGCGGTGTCTCCATCGCTGCCAGCTGAGCGGGACACCCCCCCCAAAAAAAAGTCCCCCAGCCTCCTGCCTGCTACCTTCAAGGGCGTCCTCTCACCAGCCACGGGACCTGCTCCTGGGGCCCGGGGAGCCGCGGTGCCGCGCTCGGCCCAGCGCCTGACCTACTTTATCGCTCGCTGCCGCGCTGGGACGGGGGAGAGGGAACAAACCTCTGCCGTGGGGAGGGGATGCCCAGGAGGGTGTCCTACGGGACGTGCCTGGGAACAATGCCCGGCAGTAACGAGAATTGCGAAGGAGCTGCCAGGGCCAGGCAAAGCCCCTCTTCTTTCCCACCTCCCTCGGGTTCGCTTCCCAGAGCTCATCGATCCCCGTTGCAAACCACCCCCCCTCCGACCGCGAAGGTGAAGCCGGGAACAAGAAACGCTGGCAAAGCCGAGCACGGCCCCGGCGACGTCAGCCCCACGCCACACGCTTCCCAAAATCCCACGCAGGGCTAGCTTGCTGCCGCAAACCTGGAGGGGAATAGCGGGGGCCCCCAAAACCCCCTCGGTTTGCATTTCCCCCCCCCCCATCCTGCAGGGATGGTTTGCAGCCAGCGGTCTCGACCTCCTTCCGGAGCAAAAGCCGCTCCACGTGTCTGGCAGCGAAGGCAGGACCTGCCTGCTGGCAAGGAGGGTTTCCATGTCCTGGGGCACATCTGCACCCTGGAAGGACCGCAGCAGCCTGCCACGCTCAAGCCGGGCCACGGCCTCCAGGCCACGGCCTCCCTTTGCTCCCCCAGGCTGCCTCCACTCACTTTTTTGTCCCTTAATTTCCCCTAAAAGCCCCTGCCCGCGGACCCTGGTACAGGCAGGCAGGCAGCAAAACCGGCTGCCCTGGAGCTAACCCTGGCTAGCCCACCCCAAACAGCCCACCCGCCCACTCCCGCCCCGGTCCCCCACTCCCTTACCAGACCTCCCTGCTGCCAGCCCCACTCCCTGCCCCATCCCAACACCAGTCCCCACCCCACAGCAGCCCCCCCGGCCCCTCTATCACCTGTCCCAGTCCTGCCTGGCCCCGGTCCGGCCCCGGAGCTGGTACCACTGGTACCAGACCCCATAGCTGGGTTGTCCGCCCCACACCTACCCGCACCCTCACCTCGCCCCACACCCCCACGGGCAGTCCCAAAGCGAGCCCCATAGCTTCCCCTAGGCCCTAAACCCGACCTTAGGCGAGGTCCTAGACCCCCAAATCCCTCCCCGAACCCCAAAACTCGGTAATTTCACCCCAAAACCGGTCCCTGAACCCCTAAAACCGGTCCCTGCATCCTTTCCTGCATCCCCATCCCCATCCCAATCCCGGGGCTCGGATCCCACCCTCCCCGCGGTGCCCCGTCCTCGCAGCCTCTTCCCTGCCCGCTCCCAATCC